GAGGAGGAGGCAGCTGCTGCCTGATCTTACCTTCAATATTACTAGTATTCCCTGGATCATGGCTAGGATTTCTGAGAGCACAGGAAAACAGCCCGCCTGTCTTCTTGGACTCTTCTGTTCTTCAGCTCCCATGCACTGATCTATTTTTACTTGCTCCTCCTCCCACAGATGCCTTTTCTGACACTCTGAATTAGGTCAATCCCCTGATCATTCCCCGTAACAGCACCACATGCATATTATTTGTTGTACCCATCACGCTAATTTACACTAAAGCTATTGTACCCAGTTACATGCCAGTATTCTTTAAAACTCATTTCAGTCTTGAATCAAATAATCAAAAGGAAATAAAGACAATAATCATGGCTGGTGTATTTATATCTTCAGTGTCCGGAATATTTGGTACATGATAAACTTTGCTTGGTTTTCTGCTGAATAACTCAATGAATAAAACAAGGACTTGTCTAAAGCAGATGAGCTTGGAGAGGTGAAGTGTTCTGAAGAATGGTGGTGAAAACAGTTATTGCTATAGAGTAGCGATGAGTCAAATCTGGCATCTCATCTCTGATGAGAGCTACAAGATTAAACAGAAGTATAGCAAGGCAGAAGTTCAATGGGATGTGGCTGTTTTCCAACCAAGCTCCAGCAGTTGGTAGATTACTTAGATGCAGATGTGTGTGTGGCACCCTGTTGTTGATGAATTCCAGAGCTAGAATCCAAAAATAGATAGTGGAGGGAGCATATGATCATGGAATAGAGGATGAAGGGAAGAAGATAATTCACTTAGAGATCCAGAAGATTGCCAAAGAGACTGAGATAAGTTGGTGGAGGATGACGGAAAAGCAAAGTCAGAAGGTTCAGACCTATTCAAAGAACCAACAACTTCAAGACCAGCAGAGGAAAGAAAAGGGAGTCTGAATGAAGAGCAGAGCCACAGCATAAAATGCTTCGGAGATGAAGATTCTGCCCCAAGAAAGTAAAACCGTGGGGGATGGTGGTCACCTTGGCAGCTCGTGAGAACAGAGCAAGGTGAAGGCTGCTTTCTAAGAACACAGACAAGTTAGGTGGGATCAACGAGTGTAGACTACTACGACCACATTTGAAGACAGTGATAACAGCAGCAAGTGAACCACCGTAGAAAAGCGAAGATAATCTCATCAAAAAACCATTGTTAGGAAAGAGGAGGTGAGCACAGCCGCAGACAGAGGGAGGAAGGCAATGTGGAGATACCAAAGATCCTTCTTCTGAAAGCAGCTGGATGCGCTGTAGTCTGTGTCTGCTTGTATCTTTGTGTTTTAGCCTTAAACATACTTACTGTACTTGAACAATTCCCCAAGTCATAAATCAACCTGTATGGTTTCAACTTGCAAAATGTTTTCCTTCCCTGGAATTGATGACATTGAGATAATTTCATTTAGAGATTTTTTTTCAGCCTCATGTTATCATCCATGTTGAGAGTACCCTCTGTTCACATGCAAACTGTCTCCTCTTCCATAAAGTCTAGGACCTGAACATCTACAGTGGGAAGGGTGGGACAGTGAGTCACTAAGTTGGGATGGGGTTTCCTAGGGAGTCACGTCCCTCATTCCACTTGACCAGCCTTTTGCTATTACGTAGGTGACATTTGTCTGTTAAGCTGCTCTTTCCTCTCTTAATTTAGAGACATGTCTATGCTGAGCAGCCCAGATAACTGATCAAGAGAGATGTTAATTAGTACCTTAACACAGTGAAAATTAATGTACTGTTTAGAAATCTTTAGATAAAGGTGGAGTTTTGGAATCTTCGGTGCCTTTGTTTTCTATAGATTCTAATCTATACAGTGCTCTGGGATCCTCTGAATTACTTTCTAAAAAAAAAAGGAACCGTTTCTTTCTTCAGTCTGTTTCTTATCATAAATAAAATTCTTTGTGTCTTTCTTCCCAAGTCCTTGACTAAATTTTAAGCTGAAACTCTTCCTTGGGGTATTCAGTGAATGGCCTTTGAAGTAGTTTGGTAATTCTGTGTTTTGTGGAAGTGAAGTTTATGCAAATAAAAATGGCTTGCTATTCTTTTCTTGTGCTTCTGGAAAAGTTATTAGATTTCAAATGTGATGGATCCACACCAGAGCTTGCCCAAGGCCTGAAGCCTCTTCATGTGGTCTTCACTGAACTGAATTACAGGAACCACTTGCTTTTCAGATCTCAGCTTTGCTTTGCAGGTAGGTGAAGCAGTTACACTGAGCTGTTTTGACTTTCATCGTGTGTTAGGAGGAAGACAGGATGCGGCTTTTGAGGGAGCTCTTAAAGTTTCAAATATGAACACTTAAGAAATGAGCTATCATAGTACTCCAGGGATTGCAAGAAAGCAGCTTATTAGAGTAGAAAATTGTCTCAGAAGCTGCTGGTAAGAGCAATAGGGGATAACGAAGAAAACGCATAGTCCTACCCTCCAGGCATCCTTTGACCTCCATCCAGGGTGCACTGAATACAACATGTGACTTTGAAGCAGGACTTACCCAAGGCCATTTAAAAGTGTGGTCTCCTTAATTCTGATTGATTCTGTTGGTCATATTTTGTGAATTTGAAAATTTGCTTTTTTCTTACTATCGGCAGAGGCAGAAGTGTTTTTATTAGGAGTATATACTTTTAGTATTATTTTATGTAGAAGTAAAATATGAATTATCTGTTGTTTTTCTATAATAGATATAATAGAGCTTTGCTGGGTGTGGTGGTACACACCTGTAACTCCAAGACTTGGGCTATATAGTAAGTTCCAGGATGGTGGTGGTTATATAACAAGACCGCATTTCAAATAAATAAGTAAATAAATAGTCTCAAGTATTTTTTAAATTTTATGTAGGTGTGTCTGTCTGTATATATGTGCACCCATAGAAGCCAGAAGAAGGCATTGGATCTCTTGAAGCCGAAGTTACAGACAGGTCTGAACTGCCAGGTGTAGGTGCTGGAAACTGGACTCAGGTTCTCTGCAAGAACAGCAAGTGCTCTTAACCACTGAACCATCTCTCCAACCCAAGTACTGTTTTGAAAACGTTCACTGAACTACTTCTCAGAGCCTATTTGTAGTTCTTTGAAATTGGAGTTCCTCCTGTCATGGTGGCACACACCTTTAAACCCAGCACTCAGGAGGCAGAGACAGGCAGATCTCTGTGAGTTCAAGGCTCTCCTGGTCTACATAGAGAGTTCCAGGCCAGCTGTGGCTGCAGGGAGATCCTGTCTCAAAAGAACTGCCCTCCTCCCACCCCTAAAAGGAGATGGAGTACCCTCCACCCAAAGCCTCATGGGACAATACATAAATGCATAACGAAGAGACCACTGTGTGGAAGTCAATTTGCAGAATAAAATACAGCTGATGACTAACTCTGATAGGTGAGCAACTAGTCATGGAATTTTCTCCAGATTTCCAATGCCAGGAAATGTGACAGGTGGCATTCTAACACCTCACATTCTACTCATCTGCAACCTAGGTACCTAAGAGAATGGAAAAGTTGCTACCATGTCATGTTATGGGTTAAAGGTCTATGCTTGTGGTCTGTGTTGTAGGAAAGATATGTTAGAGTCCTGTGTTGGGACCCATGAGTCCCTCACAATGTGACGTCATTTGGAGACAGGATCTTTATCAAGGGAATCAAGTTAAAACAAGGTCACTAGCATGGGCTCCAGTTCATAGGAGTCCTTGCAAAACAGGAAACTTTGGACACAACAACATACAATCTCCACATGGCATCATGGGCCTTAGATGGGAGATTAGAGTTCTGTCTCCACAACTTCTGAGGTCACTAGAAGCTGCAACAGCTATTTGTGAATATGTAGCCTGTTTGTTTCTTAGATGCAAAGGACTCTGATCTCTGGAAGTCCTGAGGGCTTACAAACCACAGTGTCTGGAGCCACAGGCCTTTTCTCTAGGACTGTGCCCAGCTGTGGTGGTTCTAGATTGGTGTGGACAGGAAGGAGGGGTGGATGTGTGATAACTTGTTGATGTTTTATAACTGCACAGCTGTCACCAGGATTTACTAACCCCCCTTGCATGTCCTTTTGCTCATTTTGACACTGTCGATTCTGCGTAATTGTCCAGTGTTGCTCTACCATGTTCTTTCCTACCCGAAAGAGGAAACAAATACTGCCTCTGAGTTTTTTCATGAAGACTTATTTCTACCAGGCTGTTCACCCAGGTGCCTGAACCTCTAGATTTTTCAACAGTCACAGTTAGCTTTAGCCACACATAAGAGTAACCCCAATAGAAGAGGATAAAGATCATATTTAGTCACAGAGGGCTGCACCATCAAAGGTATAATGACCCAGGTCCTTTTTCCTTAGTACATGGTCATTTCTAAAACCATTGCACAAAATAACTGCTGCAGATCCAACTATCACATATGCATTTCAACCAGGACGAAGGGAGAAATATCCACTTCTTAGCTGCATACCATTTCACATCCTGCCCTTTGTGCAGAGCTTAGTCAAATGGCCCCAACTAGATGAAAGGCAAGATCTCAGGGGATTCTAGTAGAGTGGATGATGAAAATTAGATTCGGAGGTAATTAAATGTCTGAATCGTGTATTAAACGTGTCAATATGGAGTTAAAACCTATAGTTCCTGTTGAGGCAGTCTCAAGCATTTGGGAAGTGTGTGTTCTCTCTGAAGCACTTTGTTCTTGGGTCTGAGCCATTGCTATCTTTAAACAAGATTAAGTCATTTCTCCCTTTGTTCTCCTGTGTGTGTATGTGCATATATTAGGTACCTTTCTGTTGCTGTGACAAAACACCACCACCAAGACAACGTATAGAAGGGAAAGTTTATTTGGCTTATGGTTCCAGAGGGGTAAGAGTCCGTGTCAGGAAGGCATGGTGGAAGAGGCAGCCAGAGCAGAAAGTTGAGACCTCACATCTTCAAGCAGGCATGGGAAGGAGAGAGAGAGAGAGAGAGAGAGAGAGAGAGAGAGAGAGAGAG